GGGGGGGTGTGGTTAAGCTTCAGGGGAAGACCCGCGATGACTTCGAGGTGTAGGCCCTCCCAAGGGAACGATGAGAAGCTCCAAAGCTCCAAAACCCGAAGCCTGGAGTCCCAGGGGGCAGAGAGGGCAGATCGAGGATACTCCGATGAACGTTGAAAGATTTAGGGCACGAAAGCAAGCAGGGAAAGGCCGAAATGTGCTTCAAAAAAGCCACCCTTCTAAGCCCGAAGCCCCTAAAACCCTCAAGCCTATGAGCTTAAGCCCTAAACCCTGACATGTATGGGTTCCGGTTTAGGGAATCCATGTTCAGGGGTTCAGGAGTTGAGAGTTCCCAAGCCTGTAGTCCAACCTCCCATTCAACGCCCCCTTACGCTGTGTCTATCTCCGTGGAGATGAGACCCACCCTAACACAGATCCAAAACCGCAACGCCTTGCACCCTAAACCCTACACCCGATAAAGCCTAAACCCTAAAGCCTAAACCCTAAAGCCTGAAGCCTATAAAGCCTAAACCCCAAAGCCTAAAGCTTACACAGCCCATATGGCCCAAACCCTAAAGCCTACAAAGCCTAAACCCTAAAGGCTCAGACCTAGCCCTTCAAAGCCTGAACACAGAAAACCCAAGATCCCACGCCTCGAACTCCTAAATCCCAAACCCTCAAGTCCTAAGCCTTGAATTTCGAAGCCTTCACTTCCTTCAGTCCTAAGGCTTGAAAACCCACCACAAAAACCAGCACACTCCAAGGCTTGATAACAGCACCCTGAACCCTAAAAACCCTCACCGAAGCCACGTAACCCTGAAATCTTCAGCCACGCCCCAGAACTCAAAACACCCGGAAACGCTGAAATCGCAGGCCACACCCCAAAGTTACAAAATCCGGGGATTCTGCAATCCCAAGCTCTGAGAGTCCCAAAGAATCCTGGAACCCTGAAACCCCTAAACCCTAAAACCCACCAAAAACCCGGAACCCGCGAGCCTCCAAAGCCGGGCGCCCTGAAATCCCAAGCCACGCCCGAAACATCCGACGTCTTGGTTTAGGGTTTAGGCTTGTTTTGGTTTCTGAATGTGGTGCTGCCTGGAACGGCGAGGAGCGGACAGAGCTTCCCCTGTTCCTGCGCGTAGAGCTTTGCCGGAAAAGAAGAGCTTAACTTCCGAGAAGGGAGTGGGTTTGGAGGTTTAGGAAGGTTTGCAGTTTAAGGCTTTAAGTTTTTAAGGGTTGAGGGTTTGGGGCTTAGACGTTTAGGGCCTAGGGACGTGTGGAGTGAAGGGGGTATCATGTATGCATCACCGAGGCCGCAGAGCTCGGGGACCGGAGCTGAAGGAATTTGGGGCGTGACGTGTTGACGACCACAGTTGGTTCACAGTTGGTGCAAGGTTTGGGGGTTTAGGGTTTAGGGTTTAGGGTGCAAGGTCTTGAACTTTTAGCTGTCCTGCTGAATGTCAATGTAGGGGGTTGAATAATGAGTAATCTTGAGGGCTCCAATTGTACTAGTATGCTTGAACCAAGGCCATCCTTTAGTTATTGAGCCCCTTTGTATGAACCAGTGTGCACTGCCGTTGTGAACTGCGCAATGGACAAGGCCCCCAGCTAGTTATCGAAGTATTCGTTCCTTGCGAAGTTGGTGACACTCTGCATCTTCTGTAACTAAACCCTAAACCCTAAACCCAATAGCTGCTCCTTAGCTCGAAGGCTTCAAGTTTCTGGTTGAAGTCATAGAAGAATTCAGCTTGTCGATTCGGCAACCCACCTCAAGCCAGAATCTAAATCCCAAAACCCTAACTCCATTTAAGCCCTAAGCTTTGCATCCGAAAGCTCATCGTACACTAAATCCGAAGTCGCCAAACGAGAAACACTAAATCCTGAACTGCAATACCAAGGACAACTTTCTCGAGACCACCTCCAGTGGATTGGTCTGAGAAATAAAAGAACTCATGCACACCCTGCACCGCTTCAGGGTAACTACTCTAAGATCCACTATGTAGGTTGGTCGCAACAGGAATCATGAAGGGTTTGGGGACTGTAGGCCAGTTTGGTTACCTGCTTTCTGGGATGCGGGTGAAGCATGCCGAAGCATCCGGGATCACTGGCCTTTTGAGTTGATGATGTTCAATGAAGATGTTAGTAGTGTTTAGGGGTTAGGGTTTAGGATTTAGTAACAGCGAGAGGGTTAAGGGCTCAGGGCTCCAGGCTAGCGGATCCTGCTAATTCTCCTTTCTCAATATATGGCATGATCTCTGCGGCAATTGACGGAGGTAAAAACCTACGAAACCTGAACCCGAACCACCCCAAGACAAGAAAACCCAAACAAAAAACTAAGCCTAACAGCCTCCGTGGGTTGACTTGGTCCATCACGCGATGCGACCCGGGTGCTTTGGATGCTAGAATTTAGAGGATTTTGAGGGCTTCTTAGGGTCTAGGAGTTTTGGGGTTAAGGAAGCTTTTGGGTGCCCAGCACCAAGTTCCAGAGCCCTGACACGCCAGTTGTTATGGACTTCAAGCCCCAAATGTGAAGCCCACACAGTTTATAGGGTTTAGGGGTTTAGGGGTTTAGGGGTTGAGGGTTTCGGGGTTTAGGGTTACCACGTTGAGACATTGAGATAGTAACTTGGGCGTGCACAGCCGTAGATCAGTACTCTGCTAGAACCCAGCAGGCATAAATACTGACCTGGATTCTGCGATTGGGAGGAGGGGAGGGAGTGAGGGAGGGGAGGGGGAGGTGGAGGGGAAGGACCTGCAACCGGCAAGCTTCCGACCCAGCGCGCTTCGTTCCTTACTCCTTACTGGAAGGGGATACTAGGTATTCGGTCATAGGAGAGGTCATGCGTACTCTGATTACTTAATTGTGGTTGTTCCTGCACCATAAACCCCAAGCCCAAAGTAGGGTTTAGGGAGGTTGAATTTGGTGCATACTCCCCGGTCCTGGCCTTTCACCTCAACAGAGCCGTCCGAGCTTTCCCGTGAAAGCCTAAGGGGGTCTGTGATTCATGTGCAGGGTATAGGTTTACTACGGTTCAGAAAGCAATGTGCAGCATCTGTGCAAGTTTGCTGAGCGACTTGGTTCACTTGTACAGGACCTGGTCATGTCTTCTCATAAGACTTCGACAGGGATCTTGAAAGTTGATCCGTAGTTGCTATTTCGGACTAAACAGCTGCACCTTGGGCGATTCGATGTCGTAGCTCGGTGACACCTTTGCTTAAGCTTCGGATTCAATGTGCACCACAGCCGGAACATGGAGCTGAGGTAGACAGCCGACCAGACGGCCTTACAAAACACACAAAACAGAGGCCTGAACGCTTGGACGAGGCAGCTTTACAAGTTGGGTGTATCCGGGAACCCTAGACTCTCAACTCTGGACATTCCCGCTGTAGGCCCCCAACGACCTAGAAGCCTAAGAGTTGGGCCTTTGGCCTAGAGGCAAAAACCTCCCGACCTCCGCTTCAGCCCTTTCCCGCCGACTTCGTTGCAGCCCACCGTTTTTCTGGTACTTCGTACTGCAACCACAGAAAAACTCAGCTGACAGGGCCTCCCAGGGTTTCCGCCATGCGCCGGGGAATGGTGGCTCGATGCCTCCTGCTGCTCTGCTCTTCCGCCCTGGCCGGGAAGCCTTTCCTCATCGGCACCGAGGACTCCGAGGCCCTAAAGGCCCCCAAGGACTCCGAGGCCCTAGAGGCCCTAAGGGCCCTAAGGGCCCTAAAAGCTCAAACTCCAAAGCGGAGAGCTGTGTTGGGTCCAACGCTGACTAAGAACTCGTGTTTCAAGTGCAGGCTTCGTGATTCACCGAGCTTTCGGTTCCTCCATGCTCAACTCGAAGGCCCTTGAAACGCTCAAATCAGGCTGTGCTTGGAGCACGAAGGCTTCTTGCTAGTTTGGTTAGCTCGTAGTAATGATCCCTATAAACATAAATGCCCCTGAGCTTGAAACCTATGCTAATTATATACGTATTTAGGCTCCTCTGCTTCGGCTTGGGGCTGAATCTCGAAATCCTATGCAGCCGAGTTGACAGCGGGTTCTAGGTAGGGTGTTTTCCATGAACCGCTTCGGGCTTCGGGCTCTTCGTGTGGGGCCCCGGTCGCAGCTTGCAGCATGTGTTGTGCAACCGAAGATCGCGGAGCTCCAAGATAGGTAGGTCCTGCTCAAGAGCTATACATCCAAGGAGGGGAGCCCGGTAGGTTTCAGGTAGCAGGGCTATCAGAGTAGGGCGGCTTGTGGTGTTATGGGATCAGGCAGGTTTTGCAAAGAGGCCTTAAACTCTAAGCCGCAAGCTTTGAAGCCTGAACCGGACCCTAAACCCTAAACCCTAGGCCCTAAACCCTAAACCCGAGGCCCTAAACCCGAAACCTAAACCCGAGGCCCTAAACCCCTCCAGGATCTCGGAGACACCGCGCAGACATGCAACGTGGATGCTGTCCAGGTCCCCAAAACCCTTTCGCTCTAATTTTGCACCCTCAACCCTCAACGCGGCCTAGGTTTAGGGTTTAGGGCGTTTAGGGTTTAGGGTTTAGGGCTAGGGTTTAGGGTTTAGGGCTACGGTTAAGGGTTTAGGGTTGCTAGACCCTATACCCCCAACACCCTGTAGTCTAAACCCTAGAGACCGAAGCCCGAAATCCTTAGAGGCTGGGGAGAGAAAGGCCCGGGCCCGATGTCCCAAGTCCGTTGGGGTCTCTGGGTTGCGGGTTCCCAGAATTTGTGGTCTAAAGCGTTGAAGAGTCTTGGGGTTTGGAGCTTGGGGTTTAGGGTTTAGGGCTTGGGGTTTAGAGTTTAGGGCTTGGGGTTTAGGGTTTAGGGTCGAGGGCTTGCCTTCAGAAACAAGTAGGATTTAGATAAGCGTATCCATGCAGGGCTCTTTATGCAGGGCTTGACGTTGCACAGATGTCTTAGAACTTACACCCTAAACCTGGCACCGACACAGGGGAGCAGAGCCGAATGCAACATAACAGCCGATTGTGCCTTGGAAAAGAGATCTTGGCCTGTTTCTTAAACCTTAACGGGTTTAGGGCTTAGGGTTTAGGGTTTAGGGCTTAGGGTTTAGGGTTTAGGGCTTAGGGTTAAACCCTAAAACCTTGCCCCCTGAAATCAGAAGCCCCCAACAACGTGACTCAAACGTGCTCGCCCACCCCGGAGGAGTCCTCGCTTGGGGTTTTGGGGTGTTGAGGTTCGGCCTAAGCAAGGCGGATCTAGGATTCGGAGGTTCGGAGTTTAAGGTCTAGAGTTTGGGAGCTTACAGCCTTCGGGGTTTGGGGTGATGTGATCTAGGGGCTCAAGGGCACGTCTGCAGCAGGTGGCGAATCTGAGGCAGCTGCACCCGATCTTGCATGACCTGGTGCCCCAGATCTGGACAGCTCAGGGTCTTTAGGGTTTGATTTGGCAAAGGGCGTTGTGACGGGAAATACCTCGGTAAGTATGGGAACTCCTGCTAAATCAAGGCCTCCCATCCCCCAATGTCCAAGAATCTTCAATCCGGAGGCCTTAGCTTTAGTAGACCCTGCAATCAAACTCGTTTAAACATCGACATACAGAGATGTCTGAATAATTTCAATCCGAACCTGCTTATGGAATCATGTTATAATTCCACCATAGTATACCCCAAAGCCTTGTTTCGGCTGTTTTACGGCTAGCAAGGCCCTGGGGGTGCTACGGGAGGGAAGTGCTGTTGGGGTTTAAGTCTTCAGTTTTCTTTTTAAATGAGCTTTGAAGGGTTTCGGCTTTGTTTTTCTTTTTTTGGGTTGTTTGGGGCGTAGGGTTCAGGATGCAGGGTGTAGATGTGGCTGCATTCGGGCTTTGGGCGCCTTTGGTTGGGGTTTTGCGGGGCTTGGCAAACGATTTTGGCCATATTGCGGCTGTTCGAAACCAGGCTTGCCTGGGAGATTACGGCTGATGGACAGTCCTGTATCATCTATAATGCAGGTTTACACCACAAGTCCTTTTCGTTTAGGATACCTACAGTGATGCAGGATGTTTTGTGATCAGTCGTCGTGATTAGATGTTTGTATTTCCACACGGTCAGAGGCTTGTGCATCTGAGAAGAACCTCTACACCAAGAAGAGCCGAGGTGAACACCACCTTCTTCCGGCTGTTTCGGGTGAATCTGAAGAGCCCAATTTGCCTGGTGCTCAGGTTTTCGGATGTAGTGTACGTTGCTCAGGTTATGGTCAGTCTGCAAGCTTTCGGGTGTAGCAAGGATGTCCACCTCACATAGCCCACACAACCCGGAACGCAAAGATGAGGCAGGCACTTTTGAACTGCATCATGTGGCAGAAGGTTAGAAGCGCATCTGATCGGACCACGCATTCCCCGTCCTTTGCTTGCGCATTGCAGAATTTGTCAAGGTCCATATTGGAAGAGTGCAGATAGCGACAAGGAGGACACCTCCAGCGGCGGAACGTGCAGCGGCGGCTTGGTGGCACATTCTGCTAAAATCAGCGGATGCTTTCTGCAAATGCACTTCTATGTAGATCTGGCTTCCGATTTCACAGGGACATTCCAAGAGCTTAGGAAAGGATCTAGGCCGACCGGTAAAGGGACCCTATAATCCGTATACAGTTAATTTCCTCTAGTATACCGTCCTGGCTCAAGTCTCCGCCAGTACCAATACGCCTCTGCTCTTCAAGTTTATAGTGGTCCATATATTTAGTACAAGTGGAAGACTATCCTTATTCGCCCAGGTGACTCCAATGAACGTGCTGTTCCTTAGGGTTCCTTTTTTGACGATGGCATGAAGTACCAAGAAGACGAGAAGCTAAATATGCCACCCCTAACTTCAGAAAGCCCACCACGTCTCGTGTTTGCGGTTCTTGCAGCAAGCCATTACAAGCAAGCGAAGATTTTGCAGTGGTCACAGCGAGATGCTCCTACTGCTAGTCCTCCTCGAAGCGTGGACGTTCTCTGGAACTCCTGTTGCCTTACTGTTAGGAAATCCCCACATGGCTGGTCCAGGCACGGTGCCCGTCTTGAGCAAGAAGCCAGCTTTTGCCCAAAAAGGCAGGCAGAAGGGTTCATAACTAGCCAGGCTTGGTTGGCGGTATACTCAAGGAGTTCATACGGGTCCCACAAGGGTCTGATAAGTGTTGTACAAGGAGTCGAGGGGGCGTTTTGAGAAAGGTTCAGGGTGTTCTCAGGTGTTTCAGGGTGCTGGGTTCGGGAGATTGAGTTTGGGGTCGAGAGTTTGTGGCTTTCTAGTTCCCTTGTCTTGGAGTGACGAATTGGCATTTAGGGCTCTGGGGTGGAGGTTTGTAGGAACTTCGGAGGCTAGTGTGTACACCAACCCATGGTGTGAGTTTGCTAGCGCGTGCTTCTTTGGCACCGTTGCAGATGCCTCTATGATTCTTCGACGCGTTACCGGCTGCTGAGGGTTGTTCTAGACTGGGGAGAAGCACACGTGAAAGAGACCGAAGCCTCTGCGCCCAAGTTCCTGAGATTCCGCAGATTTGAGCTCACATTCAGAGACAAGGGTATCATCCCATCAAAACCGGCCATGGCATTGAAAACAGCAACATGAGCATCCCCTGGACCCCAAAACCTAAAATCCTAACTCGATAGAGCTACAGACCCTAAGCTTCCGACCCTGTCCGGGAGGTGAGGAGGTGAGGAAAGGGCTCGCATCCCCCCCCCCCCCCCCCCCNNCTAAACCCTGAACCTGCAAGCCTAAACCCTGAAACCCTACGGACCACAAGGCTCCTATCCCCGCACCTCACCCAGAAAGGAACACCAAGAAAGAACACCATGAGGCCCCAAGCTCTCCAGCAAAGAAAGCACGCAGTTGAACGCCACGGAAAATCCTACAACTTCAGACAGCCATAAAGCACCCAAGCTCCATCCCCTCCATGCCTAGAAAACAGTCTATCCTCGGGGGGTCTCCTAGGCCGATAAACCCATACCAGCTCCTCTGTAACCCTTGCGGGACTCCAGGCGAAACCCTAAAACCCCAAAGCCTCAACCTGTACAACAGCCCTTGTAAAGCCGGATGTAAGCCTCTATAAATCCCTTACACCACCGCTCTCGAAAACTCCAGAAAATCTTCAACGGAGCCCGTCAAGAAAATCCTGCAAAACCTTTATGAAAGCCCTTCTGGAACTCTTCAAGGAGTCACGGAGCCCATAGCCCTATACACCGTCACTGAACCCTGAAACAAGCCTTTGCGGAACCCCGATCGACAAAACGTATGCAACAAAGGACCCTTCTAGAACCTTTATAGAACAACACGATTCGACCCCAAAAGGGCCCCTCCTCGAAGTGACCCTTGAAGGACCCTGCTATAGCCTTTATAGAGAACCCTTATGTGACCCGCAAAGGACTCCGTCAAAAGACCCCTTTTTTGAAGAGGAACCCTTACAGGAACCCTTTTAAAGAAGGCACCCTAGAAAACTCCTTCAAATTCGACAGGACTGGGTGCCGGACTAGGCTTCAGCAGCGCCGCCGAGCCAGCTTCGGAGCGGGAAGGGGGGCGGCTTTTTTGGATTCAATACGATAGCATATTTGGGTGTATAGCATTTTGTAGTATGTGTTCTAGTAGAGTATCATAGCATCTTTTATATAGGACAATATCATATCGTATCGTATAGTAATAGTATGGTATAGTATATTATAGTATATCATAGTATATTGTAGTAGATTATAGTATATAAGAGTATACTATAGTAGATTATAGTATATTATAGTATATTATAGTATATTATAGTATATTATAGTATAATATAGCATATTATGGTATATTATATACTATATTACAGTATATTATAGTATATCATGTTATCTTATGGTATAGCATATTAGTTACAGTATATAGTTGGATCTTGGGGTCAGAGTTTTAGAGATAGGGTTTCGGGCCTCGGGGTTTCGGGTTCTACCTCCCCTTTGCTTTGTCTGGCGTTTTTATGGGGGCAACAAACCCTAAACAGTAAACCCTAGACCCTAAAACCTAAACTTTAAACCCTAGACCCTAGACCCAAACACTAGACCCCAAACCCTGAACCCCCAACCCCAAACCCCAGATCCCAAATCCTAAACCCCAAGCCCTAAACCCTAAACCCAAAACCCGAAGGCGGGCGTCGGGTCTTCGGGGTCGATTTAGGGCCGAGGGCGTGAGGGCTTAGGGTCTAGGGACTAGGGTTTAGGGTTTAGGGGTTGGGGTTTAGGGTTTGGGGTTTAGGGTCTAGGGTTTAGGGTTCTCCAAACCCTACAAAGCCAAAACCATGAGTTTCTCGGATTTCCGGCCTCATTTGCAGGAGCCGGGTTGTTCCGTCGACTCCGATGGCAGCAACCCCGAGGGCGGCATCGACAGAAAGCTTACCATCCAGGAGAAGGCACTAATGGGGCTTTAAGACAAGCTTACCAGCGCTGTGCAGGGTCTGTCATAAGGTTCTTTAATAAGCTCATGTGGTGCGGTTCGTTCGTTTGTGCGATGTTGCCGATTCTTTCGTCCCTGTTGCCTTTGTCTTTCTTTGTGTGTGGCGCTTTTCCGCTGCTTTATCGGCCTGCATTCTCGGGTGTGCGTAGTTTTTTTAGAGGCTTGAGGATATGCCGGGACCGTGCAGGACGAGAATCTCCGTGTACAGAGCCTTACTGATCATGCTCCGATACAGCAACCCCGAAAGGCCGATATGCTAAACCCTAAACCCTGCAGCTTTCATCCTGCCTTAAGGGTCATCTAAACCCCAAGCCCTAAGCCCCAAACCGCAAAACCTGCATCCCAAGCTTTTGCTACGCTGAACTCTCCCGCGAAGTCCTAAGCCCGACATCCCTGGTAAGCGTTTCATCATGTTTCGAGGTTCCATTTCTGGTACTGCCTCACAGAGATTTCATACGGGGTGGAGGTTTACGGGCTGAATGTGTTTTTGTTTCACCGGTTTCGTATGGATTTTGCCCGGCCAGCTCGGCATACCCGCCAGCTCCGGGGCAGCCCAAGCCCCCAGCCAGTCCCCAGCAGCCGAGCCCAACCCGCAGCCCGAATTTGTTGGTTTTTTAGCCAAAGTTTCGGCCAAAACTCGGGCGCCCAAACCCGATAAACTTTCTATAAACTTTAAACCCTGTACCCTAGACCCTAAACCCTAAACCCTGAACCCCAAACCCAGAACCCTAAACCCTAAATCCTAAACCCTGAACCCCCAAACCCCAAACCCTAAACTGAACCCTGAACCCAAACCCTAAACCCTAAGCGGTTTCGAGGGTTTTCGATTGCGGGCTGGGGTTTAAGGCTTGCCTTACTATTTTACATATATGTACATAAACATATACATATACATACACTTCTACATACATATATACAGATACAGACACACACACACATAAAGACGCAGACATATGGAAAGATGAGACATATGCATATATCTGTGTATATATGTATGTATGTATG